TCATCCGATTGCACAGATCTGATGTCGTCTTCGGCCATAACTTTTCATCTCCTTAGCAGAAGCGTCAATGAAAGTCATGCAAACCTCGCCTCCTGTACTGTATGTTACCAATTAGCGAACTTTTTTGCAATATTTTTTTTAGAGTTTCTGGTGTTTCTGCTCAGTTTTTTTGTAATGCAACTTAAAAATCGGCATAAAAACAGCTATAAAATACTGTTACAGCACTCAAAACTTCTCAGCAAGGAGGTCAGGGTGTCCTACTGGCACTTGGATTGGTTACTTTCAACCATAAGTAGTTTTAGTTTAACTGAGCTAATGGTGACATACATCAGTCTTCTATCGTCATGTCATTTGCAGCAGTTTTGGATGTTCATTTATAAAGGCTCTAACAAGCCTGCAGTTTTAGTTTGTAGTTTTTACTCCTATAAATACACTGTTCAAACCTAAACCTGCCAGTAGCCTCAGCAGACCAGAACGCATTGCAGTAGCATGTAAGGTATTCTTCCAGTTATTCTAACATGAAGTCTCACTTAGACCAGAGAAATCAAAATTAAGTACAGGAGTAGATGAAAGTAAGAAATGTACCAACTGATCATTTAATCTAATTAACAAGTCATCTCTGCAAAAAAGAAAAAAGAGAAAAAAACCCACAGCCACGAATCCCGAGCACAAAAGGTGTCACCGAAATTAAAAATACTCATTTGCACATTAGCACTTTTACATACGCGTTAACATTTATGAATGCATAATCAGCGGAGCGGGAGGCGTGACACGTTACACAAGGGAGGGCATGCAGGAAGAGAACGACGACTGGAGCTGTCTCTGGGGCGGCCTGCACTGGTGCACACACAGATGGGCTGGGAGGCAGAGAGCCGAGGACGAGTCTCGTATGGTGTGTTTACATGCATTAACCTGGATGTCACCGGCTCTCTGCGGTCGCTTGTTTTTTTCTTGAAACATCATGTAAATGACAAAGCTGGTTTCCTTAAAGCGAGTGGTGGTTAACAGGGAACTGTATGGATGAGACTTCTGTAGGAGAAACCTTATGTTTGGCCAAGTGGAAGCTGTAGATCATGATTTACATAATATGCAGTGTATAGAAGCATCTGCAGCACAGTATTATTTTTTCTTTTAACATGACAGCCTTCTAGTTATCTCTAAAAAATGCGGTCATGGTTTGAGAATGAAATAGGTAGACTTAGGGTATCTGAGTATTGTATATTTGCAAACACTGGCTGAATGACTGCAGTGCATTGAGGAAGTCTTTTACAGTTTCCAGCCTTATTTAGTTTGCTTGCATATATAATAAGACTTGAGGAGGGTAGGAACAATTAGGACAAGTAAAGAAAATCACAAGAGAACCACGTGACACAGAATAAAAGCAACGTTAAGCCGTAAAGCAAGGTTAACTGATTCCTTCATTGTTCCCCAAGAGGTTTAATCTCTTCTGGAAGCTGCTGCGCGGCATGTAAACTGCAGTTTGGACAACAAATTAGCACAATCCTGTTTAATTAATCAGCTTTTTGCATGTTCTCATTGTTGTGAAGCGCCTATCACCTATCCAGTGTCTTTTGACAAGTCCAGACGCTTGTCTGAGTGTATTCCTGGAGGAGCCGGTGGCATCTGAAAAAACAAGCAGCAATAGTAATCCAAACTCTGTCACTTTACTCCAATCTAAGCCTCACCAGCAGCGTCAATAAGAAGCCGCAAAGAGACAAACATGGGCCTGGCAAGCTCATCCAGGGATCACATTGTGAGTCACAATGCGTGTCCGCTCTCCTCCTCCCCCCCCATCTCCACAGCCAGACGGAAATAGTCGGCTTTGGCACTGCCATAATTTCGCCTCTCTCCTTCTGCACTCGGTGTTCCTCCCCTTTCATTTCAAAGCTGGGGGGGGAGCGAAGTTATTGCATGTGACACACTCGGTAGTGAAAAGGGTGGAGAGAAAAATTGCATTACTCCACAAAGCAGAATGCCACGGGAGCGGGATGAGATGTATCTCCTGCTGCTTAATAACAGTGGAATTATTTAAAATAGAAGCAGCAGCGGCAGAATATTTCTGAATCTATATTTAGATTGGGAGTGATGCGTCTCACCCTCGCAGCCACGGCTCATGTGGGATTCGCAGGGGAGACATGGAAATGCATCAGGGTGGAGATCAATCTAGCGTGCTGCATGGCGCCTTGCAGAAAGATGCTATTTTCCCAAGATATTACATTATCAAAACGAGCTCGGGAGCGTTCACAGTGACCATTTCAGCTCAGCAGAACGGATCAAAGTGAATTTCACTACAGTTATTTCCCAAGAATATTTTGTGGCATTTAAACTGCAATCTTTAAAGAAGTTAGGATCAATAGAGTAAGCTACAAAGTCAAGTTCCCTTGTACAACCTTTTTTTTTTTTCTCTCTAAGCTATCTATTTTTAGCATCCTCTGCCATCTCTACACCAGCTGGATACAGGAATATCATCTGCTGCTCATTCATTCACTAACCAATAACCTGACTCGGAGGCTTGCTTTCACTCTGCAAATTTCAAACATTATTACTTTCCAGGACCTTGTCGCAGCAAATTGCATTGATTAGCCGCCTCTAAATCAGTTGGCTTTAATTACTTTTACCTTGTATTGCTTGGCTAAGCATATAGCTCCGCATGATTGCGACTAAATTGCAATTAGCTGATGCCCCGAGCACCCATGAGAAAGACATAATGGCGGTTTCATGTAAATCAATGGTATGTGGGTGTTGGACAGAGTGTAATCATCTGCAAAAAATAACGAGGTACTGCAGAAGTTGGTAGAAACTGTCACTGATCAACACGGATTGATCATCACTGACGACAGAACACTATTGTACTTTGTAGTCATGCAGTGTTTCGGTACATAACATGAAGAAAGAGCCTCAGTCTTGCATCAAGATTAAAGAAATCAGTAGACATTTGGTGTCTTAGCGTGATAATCATCCTAATTTTAACTCGAAAACATTTTGATATAATCGGGGCGGCTCCGGTGAGTCTGCAAACAGTTTGAGGGTTTTCAGACTGGATCTGTAAACCCCTCACAGTATCAGATGATCTGAGCAGAGCATCAGTGCAGGCCAGGATCCCAGAACTGATTTCTACTTTACTCCTCCACCAAACACAGTGTCCAGTTTGTTTTGGTCTTATCATATCAAAGAACCTTCTTCCAGCTGACTTCAATGAAGTCTTACAAATTCTGGCAAACTCTAGTTGAGCTTTTTTCAACAGTGCATTTCTCTTTGTGACTCTCTCATAAAGCTTTGACTGGTGAAGAACAAACAATGGTTTGTGGGCACAGTTTCTCCAATCGAGGCTGCTGAAGCGTAACTCTTTCAGAGGAGTCACAGGTGTCTTGGTGGCCTCCCTCACTGGTCTCTTTCTTGCACAGTCACAGTTTTTAAAGACGGGCTGCTCTAGACAGATTCACCCATGTGCCACATTTCTGCAACTTCTTAATGATGGATTTAAATGTCCTCCAAGGGACATTCAATGATTTGGAAATTTTCTTGTATCAATCCACTGACTTTTAAATAACCTTTTCATTGAGTTGCTTGGAGTGTTCTTTGTCTTCATGGTGTAGTGATGTACCAGTGACTGGACCTTCCAGATACACTTGTCTTTATGCTGCAATCACCTGAGACACATTCACTGCACTCAGATGATCTCAATTTTATTTATTGTGTGACTTCTGGCACCAGTTGGCTTCACTTTTGTTGAATTAGGTGAGTCGCCTTAAAGGGGGGTGAATATTTATACAATCACTTATTTGTATTTTATATTAATTGGCTTTACTTTGTAGAAATCTGTTTTCACTTTGACATGAAAGAGTCTTAATTTGTACATTCTTGTCCAAAAAATGCAAATTAAATTGCCCATGATTCAGTATTACAAAGCAATTAAAAGGGAAAACTTCCAAGAGGGGTAAACAGTACTGTAACCATCATTTTTATAGTCAATTAATTATAATTATTTATTCAATTAATTGATAATTTGTGTCAGTTAAACATCAGATAGTTTAATAAAACACATCATTATCATTTTCCAAAGACTAAACCGATGTATTTAGTTGTTTGTTGTAGATTTTTTTGCATTATTTTGGTTAATTATCATACAAAATCTAATGTGTGAGCTGCAGAAAATACGAAATTATAACATTCATTAATTAATCGATCCACCAGCAGCCATCAAAAGGAACTTAGGTGTTCAATAGTTAATGGCTGAGCGTTGCTGACATAGCCAAAGCTCACAAATTAAATCACAAGCTTTAAAAATGCATATACATCTTGAATTAAAGAGGCCATCACTGAGCAGCTTGATGGAAACGTTGGGCAAAGACGTTCATTAAGAATATAAAGTCTTCAACGGTTGAGGTCAAGTAAACTTTAACAGGCTGTATTGTGGGTGCAGGTCTGAATGGAGGCCGTCTGTACGGCAGCGTGAGTGGCTGGTCAACAGATGGTAGTGTAGGGAGGCTGCTGGGTTCATTGGCCGGCTCTGTGTACAGTTAGCAGGGGGTCACCAACAAGCCCTGGGATGTTTGTCCCTGCCAGTCCCGTTTTATCACACACACACTTTTGGCTGCGAAAACTCTGCTTATCGCAGCTCCATTCAGCCGTCAAAAACCCCCAAAAAAACAAAAAAAACACCTGAACAGTATGATTTATGGACTGAGGTTTGCACTGTCTGACAAGGCAAACAATCCTGCTCTGCGCTGCTGCTGCTGCAGATATGAAACTTTGTTCTGATCTCTGATTCTGTTTTAGATGAATGAGCGACGGTGTGAACTGAAGGTCAAACTGAATGCCAACCTTCAGTCAAGGAGAACATTGTTGTTTTCAGCTCAAAGGAGCATGTAGATTATCAGCAAACACACGTCAAGAAATGAGCGCATGAAAGGATGCAAGCCTGCGCGCACACACCAACACACACAAACACACACCAACACACACACACACAAACAAACTAGCAAGTATCTCAGGCTTACCGGAAAGTAGAGAAGCAGAGCTCCACACAGGATGGCCTCCAGCAGGACGAGGCCTGATGCTCTGATGCTCTGCCAAAACAGAAAGAAACTGCGGTTATGAAACTTCTCATTTATACATCATATATTTGAATATGCATATTTTTTGGCAACTAAAACAAGCTAAAACACAACAGTGACTTTAAAACAACATGAGCATTTCTTTTTTTGGAGTTGCCCTTTTCTTGACTTGAAATCTAATATTCACTCTTCTTTAAGCTCTGGTTTAGTTTCCACAAACTCCTGGGAACACATTTGCATCTCTAGAAGCTAAATGCTATGCATTCATTAAACAGCTTCCCATGATTGCTGATGAGAAGGTGAAAGCAAGAGTCGGGTGATGAGTCTCTGCTCCCCAATTACGTGTCTGTGAAGATTCTCAGTCATCCAGGTCATGGTTTTTCTGGTGGATTAATCGTAGCAACTGGACTTGCTTGAGTTCCTTGAAGACGTTTCACTTCTCATCCAAGGGGCTTCTGACTGACAAGTTGGGAGTTCCAGATACTTATATCCTAAATCCTATATCCACAAGTGCATGGCTCAGCACAGAAGAGAGGACAAAGGACGCTCATTCGAAGACAACAACGTACAGATTTTGGCCAGGGAGGACAGATGGTTTAAGAGAGGGGTGAAAGAAGCCATCTAACTGGAAAGACCATCCCTCAACAGAGGTGGAGGTCTGAGGCATCATCTCTCACTTGTTCACCAATTCAGTCCTAAGAATTCGAAACCGAAACTCAGGTGTTAATGGCTCCTTAAGGATATAAGTATCTGGAACTCCCAACTAGTCAGTCAGAACTGATGAAGCCTCTTGGATGAGAGGTGGAACATCTTCAAGGAACTCAAGCAAGTCCAATTTACGAGAATTCCCAAATTACATTAAAATCCCTTGTAATATGTCATTAATTTAAAGATTAGGAATGTACTCTCTGGGTTGACTCGTTGATATGCTCTCATCTGATCAAATCCTGATTGCTTGATCAGTTAAAAATGTTGCTTTCATGCAGACAAGAGCATCAACAGCTTTCAAGGATGAATCCATTATTTTTGGTGACGGGAGGAACAGACTCATCATGTTTTCATAAATTTGTACTTTCCCAACCTAACGTTGACTTATTTAACAATTTACTGAACGTTCCCTCGGAGTCGACTCTAAACTAACTGACTGGAGTTTTTATATTACACAGCTTAATAACCAACATGACAGATAATTCAAAATCAGCAGCTAACTTGTCGGCTTTATATTCCTCAGTGGCTTTTAGTTCCATTTTCAGAAATCATATGAGCCATTTCAGCATAAAATAATGAGATTAAAATGATTTAAAATGCTGCTAATGCTAGCTTTTTATATTTAGTTGTAATTCACACTGAACATGCAGATTTTGGAAGCGAAGTGCTTTGTTTGACGACTGAGCTGGAGAGCTTTACTTTCAATAATTATGCAGAAAAACTAAATGACACCTTATAAATTAACTGACTATTGCAAGAAATTACAATAAAATATTCGATAAAATAATTAAAAGCTCATATATGCTCCTGGTTTGCAGACGTGCTTCATCACAAATGTCTACATTACGATTAAACCCGTGTTTTCTCTTCTCTGCTAAATGTATGTACCGTAGAGTCTCGCAGCCTTCAGACGCCCTTCACATTGCAGGAGGTTTAAACAAGCCTAAAAACAGCAGGATATTATAATATCCCAGGCAGATTTACAAAGAGGAAAGGAGCTTTCCTCTTTGTTCGCTGAAAGAGAACCAAGTATAGCGAAAGCTCCTCCCTCGAGGACTTTTTATAGAAGGGTCCACCATTTCAGGCGCTTTCTGTGCACCTCTTGTGTAAGATATTTAGCAACATATCGTCCTCTAATTGACAACATGCTTGAGGGGGCTTTCAAAGAGCAAGAGGCAGCTGTGCCACCCATTTAAAAATACATACAAAAGGAAACAGAAGCCTTCCCCTTCTCTCTCTGTGCACCGGCTGAGTGATGTTTATCTCGTTTAAAATAAAACTAGCAACATAAACCTGCAACCCAAATAAACTCCTTCATGAAAATTCCTCAGAAAGTCTGTGAAGGAGCTTTGAAACTAAAGTCTTAAACTTAGTTTGGGAAGATTAATGGGGATTACATAAGTGGTCTTTAAATTATGACAAAGACTCCGGAGTATCTCAGACGTCCATCTGCTTTATTAATGGGGCTGATCTTTTGTTCGACTCCGGGTGTTATAATGGCACAGAGTTCAGGTGTGCCAGATAGCACAGTGAGATGTTCCTCTGTCAGGAATGTGGAGAATATTCAGGCTAATCCTCGGATGTCTAATGCGCAACACAAAGACGTTAATTAGGATTAATTAATAATTGACAGAAATAGCTTGTGGCTCGGAGGATTTTACAATTTCAGTTAAAAAGTTTTCTTGGGTTGAAAGTGAACTCAGTAATTGAATTACTACGATGACCAACTTTCATTTCAAC